GAAGCTAACATTACATACCATTCTCTGCTTCTGTACCTTGTGGCTGAGCAATGTTTTTCTCAACTCTTTCAACAATTTCTAGGACATCATCAACATCAGCTCTTTTCCTCTTGACACTGTTCGGGTCAGTTTTAGCAAGAATCTGGCCTTTTGCTTGTAGTCGGTGTATTGCAGCCAGCTAGAAAACAGGAAAGACCAATGAATATGTTGGTGACCACTCTAGCTCCCATGTTCCTACTTCCAGAAGTAGCAGAGGAAGTCTGTCAAACGGAGGAGACGAGATCCACTGAGCACGGAGCTGGCCGAAGAGAGGCCCAACAAAATTCCCAGCTCTGCTGTACATCCAATTCACTACATCACCCAACCTCTCGTGACTTCCCAAACCATAAAATCACTCCTCCAGGGGTGTTACCAGGCTTGATATCTCTGCAGCTGTGCTTTAACTGCTTCACAAATCACTAAGTTTTCCAGAGGAATCAAATCACTTGAGATTTCCACATAAATTGGTAATAATTGGTAACTGAAAATTGCATACAACTATTCTTTTCCATACTCCCAAAATGTTAAGACTCCTTCTTCCCTGCTGGAAGAGAAAAGTTTATTTGACAAACGTGAACAAATTTGCGCCACGGAAAGATGCAGTCTGTTCTGTCTAGACACCAAACTTGTCCAAACTCATGGCACAACACAGCTAAACCAGATTAGTACCCTGTTGCTTACCTGGCAGACAGAAAACACCCACGATACACAGCACTAGCAATGCCAAAGAACAAACATGCACAGTTGAGCACTCCAGGGATTTTCAGCACAAATCCCCTGCCCCTTCCCAGCACTTAAGGGTTTTCATGCTTGTAAAACAATCAACAGCGACAGGCCTTTCTCTCCTTTCTTCTGTAAAAATCAGTTCAGCACCTTCCATCCTGGTCCAGGACCTATCCAGAACCTGAAGCTTTAAAGTGTCTCAAACCCCCAAAACACAAGAGCAGAGAAGCTCTGTCCCAGCTGCATGAAGAACAGAGCGTAAGCAGAGCAACACAGCTACTCCAAACTGCTCTGCAAAGGTAATGTCCCTAAGAGATGACAGACTATGTCAGGTCATGAAGAACAGAGTCACTTCTACTCACAGAAGCTGCTAGCGTGCATAAAGAAAGAGGTGTTTCTTCAGCAAAAAGCTTAGCATCAGGCTCATGACTTAAATGAGATGCCTTATCTCCCCATCTCCTTTTCCCCAGTTCCATCCCAAGAGACTCATCTGTTCCCTATCCACACCCAACTGGCATTTGCTGAAATTGCCATTGTGTCAGTGGCTTCGGTGATGCTTGTCTTCAGGGAAGATCAAGAGTGAGCTCATGAACATCACATGTGAGACAGATCATAACAACTCGCTGCTGACGAATTCAAAATTCAGGTGAATTTTGAATTAGCAAGAGACACCAGCTCCTGTGGCCAAACGTCACAGACACAGCCCCCTCTTCAGCAGCTATTCCACTGCTCTGGAGGTTGACTACAGGCAAGATGGTAGCATGAACCTTGGTACTAACAGTTGTCAGGAACCGCAGGTTTCTTGTGTACCATAATACAGCCTAGTCTGATCCCACAAATCAGGAACTTCACCAATAACAGCACTGAGCTGTCCTGTATCTGATCAAAGACTCCTCTGCTACCGCAAACCAAACTTCCCTTAACCTCCCCTTCTTAATACTAAAAAGATTCAAAGAGATGTTACCTTTCTGGCTTCTGCCAAGCTGTCTAGCTTTGGTGTTGGAGGTGGAGACCCATCAAAGAAGAGGATATCTTCTCCTTCTGAGAAGCCTGTGCCCAGCCTGGGCCTTTGAGGAGTTGACATTTTTGCAGCTCTAGGAAACTCTGCCCCAGGTACTGGGGAATGGAATGAGGGCTGTCTGGAGGAGGACGGCAAAGCAGGGCTGCTGGCTTTACTTGTGTTCTGGAGAAACCTTGTAAGACAAGAATAATCCATTGAAATAAGGACATAAGTCAAAGAGACAGAAAGGTTTAAGAAACAGATAGGAGTGGAAGGGACGCAGACTGATTTTTCACTAATTGGCCTTTTATTGCTAGAAAATCATACAGCAGTTCCGGCATTCAGGAGAGGAAAACGAGACTGGTAAGGAACACACTGGGTTGCTGAAATCAAGAGTGACTTGATGAAGTCGCCAGAAGGAGTGAATGGCTAATTGCTTTCCAAAACAAAAAACAGAGAGAAGCATCAAATGAAGCTGGGAAGTGGGAGCTGAAAGCACAAAAATGGGCTTCTTTGCAGAACAGGTAGTTTAGCAGTGGGGCTCCTTGTCACAGGAGTCACATAAATGCTTACGTTTACATAGGTCATGGTGAAGAGGTTGGGCAGGTTCATGGGAAAAAAAAAATACCTTCAGAGATATTGTGACAGACACCACCTCTAGCTTGGAATACATGATACTTGAAGATACTTGAAATACATAGTGTTGTAGGCTGGAAGAGTATTTAGGGGAAATATCATCATGATTGTGTCTAGTCTTATTATTCTCCTTCAGGTTCTGTTTTGGCTCCTGTTGAGCCTTTTGAGGCTGCTTGGCTACATCAATCTCAGTCTCACCCCGGGTGGCTCTTCTGAGGTTCTTCTTAGGTTTGCTAACAAGATATGCACAAAACACTTGGCAAATCTTAAGGTTCAGATGACACTTGCAAGCCAGCAATGAACAGAACCAGGACCCCTGACCCCAGTTTCCTACTGTAACCAGCCTCTTCCCATCACGCAGTTGCTGGGCACTGCACTGGAGCATTTGGTTCTCCACTGAATACTGGGGTATTTCTATTTAAATGAAGTTTTTATTAAAACAGCAAAACACCTCCCACGGTTATACTTAGGGCCACAATAACGGAACCCTTCCTGTGAAAGTCAGTATGTATTACCGCCTCTGAATCTCTTCAGATCGCTTTTTTCTGGCCTCCAGCAATTTCTGTTTCTGTTGCTTGAGCAGTGCTGACGCAGAGACAGACTGGAAATTCGACCCTTGCTTCTTTTCAGCATCTGGGAAAAAAAAAAAACAAAACCAAACCAAAAAAAAAAGCCACTAATGTTTGCTCAGAAGGAAGTTGAGTGTTTTCAGGAGTGGGTTTTCCTTCAGGCAAAAGGACAATACCTGCTTTGGTCCAGTGTTTGCAGAGGTTTCGTGCTCCAAAAGTTGGCTGTGCCAGCAGTTCCTTGAATTCCTCAGAACATTGCATGGGTCTCTTTGCTGCACCTGGAGCAGAAGAGGCAGAAGTACAACAGATTTGGAGCCAGGAAGGGAAGTAGGCCTGGCTTTAGAGATGTAGAGTAGTCTAGGTTGCAAGAATCCCCTGCAGGTCACCTGAGTGAGCACCCCCCTAAAGCAAGGCCAACTTCTATGTTATATTTGGTTGCCCGAGGCCTTGTCCTCACAGAGCACATCACGAAGACATTTCTACCCCTTCAGCAATTTCATCAGTCAGTCAGTTCCCCATCAGCCTTGGCTGTCTGTGGTGTTCTCACTTTTCCCATTTTTAGAATGCTTGAAAGCCCTGAAGACAGCACATCTTATCCCTGGAGAATTAAGAGCAGCTAAAAGCTAGAGACAGGACACGCACTATGTTGTCTGAAATGGAGGCAACCGAAGGAAGTGAAAGATCTAAGTGGCATCTAGAGCAGATAGTTTGAATAATCTGTCATCTGCTCTCCACCGAGCATAAAGAGGATGTAATATTAAGTGCTTTACAGAAACGAAATGGAGGCAGAGATGATCGGTGACATCCCAAAGGCTATGGAAGGAACATTGTTTGAAGATCACAAAAGAAAAGCACTAGAAACTGGGTATTCTGGAGGGTATTCAGGAGGTCCCCTGCATTGCAGACCTGACTCTGATTTATACTTAGTATTCCTGGGAAGCTTTCAAGATTGACAGAAGTAATTTATTTTAATCAAATAAAATAAATTCTCTGGTTCAAAGTTCTTAAAACTTCCAATTCCCATTAATCTGGCAAAGATCTTCTGTCACTGTCCAAAGACAGAACAGGAGACTTAATTCAGGGGTACTGATGAAAAAAAGATGCATGGAGCTAGACAGTTGCTTAGTTACATTTGCCTTGCAGCTGCGATTCTAGAGGGAAGAGGAGTTTTGATCAATTGAGAAAGCAGCCTGCAAATGGCTCTCTCTGTAGCAAACCAATTGCCAGATTCATTCAGTGAGTAGCAGGGTCCTGGGACACATCTACACATCAAGCTGAAAATATCTGGAGGGTGAAGAGACTACATGGGTAATTAGGTACCAATTTTCTGCCTGGTTTCCTGGACAATTGCATCAACTCCTCTCACGACCAGATTGGAGAGAGTGGTTTGAATCTTCCTTTTCGGCACTGCAGCTGCTGCACTAGAAAGAGGAAACAAAAACAGAACATCAGAGTTTTCCCATGCTTAGAGCAAGGACAGGAGCTCGAACACCAGCCCAGTGCTTCAACAAAAATCCAGCCACCCTAAAGGGTGCCTCTCTCCTGCCATCTGTCTGTCTTTGGGAAGGACGTGGGTCTAAATCCAAATTCTAGCACAATGTTCAGCATCTCCCATTTCTCCCTGGGTTGAGATATGTATTTCCTATGCATTAAGAGAAAACTAAGCGTAGATAATGTCTAAGCTTTGCTCACAGTTAGACCCAGGGATGGAGAGGAGGCTGGAATTGCTTCGTTACTGCAGAGTCACACCAGTTATCATAGGGCAGTGGTAAGGGAATGAAAGCCGTGTGCAAACATGGCTTGATCCAGCTGTGACTTAAGTCTTTCCACAGCTGTCTTCAGGGGGATTTGGATGAAGGACCTGGCCCCTCCGTGCTAGTTATGAGATGCATACTGATCTACTTAGCTTGGTCACTTAATAATATGCAGGGTGTACTACTGTCTCTTCATTAACACATAGTGATATTGTATTATTTCAGTCAAGGAAGAGAGGAGGAGGAAATACAGAATACACTGAGTCCGGGATTAAGTGCAATGAGCCATAACAAAATACAGTAAGGGAATGGCACTGAAAAATACTCATCTCGGAGACTCAAATGCTTGGGATCTCATGATACAGTTCATTTCATCTACTGAAACACAATGCTGTCTGGCTTCACAACACAGTATTAATTTAGAGGTAAAAACACTCCTTACCACATCTTAGCACTGACTGTTAAAATTTTCCTATCGAATAGCAGCTTTGTTACCCCATGGGGCCGGGAGGATTACACCAAACGTGGGACATTTATTCCTATTTGGTGAATGTAGTTAAGTCAAAGGGATCTCTAACTAAACAGCCCCCCTTGGAGACAGCTTCAGGCTCACTTGTATATGGGAGGGAAATTCTGTTCGAAAGCAAAGGAAAGAAGTGGTTTATCTTACACTGAGGCTGCATATGCTGCTGAAGAGACACCTCCATAGTAAAACCCATCCTGACACAGCCTCTCCTTCAAACTGGGATTTTTCCGACCAACTTTTTTGGGAATGCGGCCACCAGAGAAGGTGGACTGCAGATCTGCCCGCTTCGAGCTGAGCTTCTTGTACTGGGATTGTATGTGATACTGACAATATTCACAGTCGTTCTGAAAAGAAATGGGAGAAGCCTGTTGCAGAACACTAGCAATTACAATTTACTTCATTCCTCTCACCCACATGCATCCTTCTATGGCTAAACTGAAGTAACATTTCTAATGCAGTACTCCAGCATTTGACCAACTCAGCAAACATATGCTCACACTCCAGCAATGGAAAACAAAACTAAAATTGCCCATACTAATCACTGGAAAAAAACCTGTGTGTCAAGGAATTTTAAGGCTATTCCTTGGCTCAACTCATGTCGCAGGTCCTCTTGCCCAGATTCTGTACTCTTGACTCTGAACTGTATGCAATTTTCTTACCGGTATGAACACAAAGGAAAACTAACACTGGAGCAAGATATTTCATGCACTCATTTCAAACTGATTTGTCAGTTTTCAGTGTCAATCTGAGGGAGTTTAGAACTGAAGATAGTGAGCCTGCCAGTCAGGTACAGCAGTGCCATAAACGCACTCACTCAGGGTGTTCTTTAACTTTTTACCAAAAAACCCTCTCCATTCTCATTGATATTCATCTGCCCCAGATTTGTATAACCCCACAACCAAACATTTTTTGTCATTAATTAAACAGACAGACAATTCCTTCATGAGGTTCTTCTGCCAGACAGCCTCCATCTACGGTTTGTTCCAGGTGGCACTGGAACATCTCACTGACGTTGAGAGCCCTGTGCACAGCCACCTCCCGGAGTGTGGTCTGCAATCACAGCCTTGTTTTGCTACAAGTACCTTCTGTATTTGTCTTCCTCCCACTCCACACACTTTGAGTTCCTCCCCAGTTCTTCATTCCTTCATTTTCTCTCCTCCTTCTAAGTGCTACCCTGCTAACTATAACCCTTCCAACTTAGACATGGTTCCTTTCAGGTACCATAACATCACATGGTTATGAAGTGACATAGTCCACAAGTTCCTTAAACTAGTACAAGTCAGTACTGTCCCTAAAAGAAGAATCCTAACACCTTTTTGCTCTCATCTCCAGTGCCCCACATTCAGGTATAAATATCCTGGCAGCTTGCAGGCACACTGGACCAGGGAACTCATTGGGTTAAAACCATCTCTGAAAAACACAACCATTCCCAAGAGAAACCTCCTATTGTTTTACCTTGGATGAGTTCTCTAGTGCAGTGCATGGAAGCTTGCACCGGCGCAAAGGAGAGTGAAAGGGTGTGGAGACAGTGGCAGTCATGGGTCAAGACCACCTCTTTTCACTGCAGCACCAGCTTTGCATTTAGGGAACTACTGTGCTGCTGCTACAGTGCTATCACAGAAGCAGCTCCTCTGGGTTTCATTTCTCAGTTTCTCCACCCACTTTAGGATGTCCTAACTACTGAGATACAGACCAGGTTCACAATCTGTGCACAAGGATCACCATTCTTCTTCCTGGCTTTGCAGGTGCCCATGTCCAGAGCTTCACCCATGAGGAGGATCTTCTGGGGATGGTCAACAGACAAACACACCTAGAAAGAAATCAGAACATGCCTTGAGGAGGACTGGATGGGCTTCTCTCTAGATGTCACTGGTTTGGTACCTCTGGTATTAACAACACAGTTTTAAAATGCAGGCCTAGTTTAAGAAAGCCACATGTCCTGTTCAGATTGAGAAAAGGCCAGTTAAAAAGAAAAAAAGTGAATTTCTTTCTCACAAAGAGATGGAAGACGTTGGATTTCTATGCTCAGAACCTCAGGAACCAAGGACCACCAAAGGCAGATCTAGTTGTGCTATAAATGATGGTTCTGTACAACTGCTTGGCTCTGACACCATCATGGCAACCATATTCGGCAGTGGATAGGAAGAGGAGATGTACTAGAGCTCTCTATCCCTCTCCATATGTCTAGGTCCAATCAAAACTTGACTCCTGTGCAAGAACAATGTCTACTTCACATAACCAAAGATACTGGGAATTGTGTCTGTAGGTAAGAAACAGTTTGAGAAGTTAGTTTTAATGTAGTTCTAAATGTGTAAATTTTAGCTAAAAGCCGTTCCTAACAGTTAAATACAACCCTTACATTAAATCTGGTATGCCTTCCTACTCACCAACAGGACTTTCTACTGCTTATTCATGTTAATTCAAGCAATTATATAGCTTAATAGACAATTAATGAGATTCTTAATTTTTCCATTTGGAGAATTTAAAATGCAAAACACTACATCAGCAGCTACTAGATTGAAATTCCCCTTGACAGAAGTCAGTAAAAATGGTTTCCATTCCAGTGCAATTAAAAAGATATTAAAAAAAATTAATTTATTAGCAAAATGAAGCCACCTTAAATGTTTTCATACATACAGAAAAGTAATTCATCATGTTCTGCATTTGTAAGTAATTGATTAAACAAGTGAACTACTATGTATCAACTTACTAAACATAATACATCGTTTGTTTAATAAATCAAATATTGCTTCATCTCAGTCATGATTTTGGAACCAGGAAACATTTTGCAATCACATCTCATGCTTAAATTAGAAGAGAAAAATGAGCTTCCCCACCTTTTTCAGCTTTGAGAGACCTCTAGGCTGAAACAGGCATTTCACTGAAGTAGCTGAATAAACTGAAATGAAAATACACTCCCTACATCTGTGGAAGAGCCGACTGCTACCAAGAGAAGATTAAACACGTGAATAAACTCTGGTTTTAGATGCTTAATAGGACTTCTTGAAGTTCAGTCTACCAGAAGACCAGGAGCAAATACACACCACACAAATATCTGAATGCAATTCAAACTGTTTAGGCAGACTGCTGTAATTTCAGCCTTAATATATGTTATAAAGCTAAATCTCAAGCAGATATGAAAAAGTTCAGCTATTGGTTTTTATCTACAGCTGATGGGCAAGTGAAAAATCCTCTCACCTCATCTGAGCCTTCTTTAGGTTTCATAGGATTAGCATTGAGCAGCCCGATGACCATGCCTTGGTCTGTCTTCCAGTACTCTTTGTGGACATCACCGAACAAGAAGAGTGAGACACACTGATTGAGATCCCGTAGGTCGTTCAGCTGCCAGATACTGAAGGTTCTGCCCTGGAACAGACACTTCCTTTCAGCTCCCAGTACAGGGACACTGACTGCATCCCCTCTTGCTGTTGCTTTTAAAGAGTTATTCTGATTCCCCCACCCCGTTCTCCTGATTTAGAAAATCACAATTTGTAACCTCAGTAGAGGTTAGATACAGTATCTCCAGCTATGCCACACAGCCAGCTCTGGGATTCTTAAAGGCCAAAATAGCACAATAACACTGTTACCACAAATCTTCCTGATACTAAAGCTGGACAGCACTCTTGCTCGCTGAATAAAGACGTTTTTACCCCACTGAACAAAAAAACCCAAGGCGTATCCAGATCTCTGTTTCATCAATGACTTTCTATAGGACATGTACACCATCTAGGACACAATGACCTCTAGGGAAATGATGGAAGCAGAATGTGTTGGCACATTTAAAACAAGAGGCCTGTCTAGAAAGTCACAGTTCTTTTTTTCGCACTGGCATTTAACATGTAACAGTGGATGAACAGATTTAAGACAGATTTATGCCATGGTTACATTAGCCAATGCTACTGTCTGGTATAGTTGCACCAGATAAGCTAAGGACTTAAGCTAAGGACCTGAGGACTTACTGCAGCATTACTGCATGAAACCAGACGAGCCAAGAGCTTTAATACGGTAGCTTTTCATTAACTACATGGAGTTGGCTGATTAAGTTGAAGTCCTAATTAGTTTCTCAGGAAAGAAGACCAGCATTTCACTTGAAGTGAGCAAGGGATACAACAAAGTTACTTACATTATTTGCGCTCTGAGGAGTGATCTTCTTCACTATGACTCCAAATGTTACCCAGTCTATTTCCTCCAGGTTTTCTGCAGCAAGTTTGCTCTTCAGCTGGGACAGTCGGATGAGCTTCCGGTTAGCCATTTTCCTGTCCATTTCAGCCGATGAAACCCGGGGTTTTCTAGATCAAGCAAAAGCATGTATAAGAGAACACATCCATTGGCATAAATGGGCAGAGACAATAAAAACCATCCAGCATTCTCCTGGGGAGACTATGTGTTGCTGCAAAATGCCTCTGTGCCTTATATCACCCTGAGTTCACTTGAAACAACCCCCCCCAGTTCAGGACACTGTACAAATATCAGAAAGCTACTGATCATACTGTTTTTTGTCCAAAAAGCTGCACTGCAACTTAGCCCCAAGCCTGCATTAACTCTGCTCATTTCAGGAAGGACTGAGTACCATGACTGTCTGAGCAAGGTTTGGAAATCCAGCATGGTTTCTGGTGAGGAAAGACACCGTGGGTATTCAGAGACCTCTTGTGGCCACATCGAGTTGGGATCACGAGTGGCTCCCGAGGCTTCTCAGAGTGGTGCAAAATCTGCTCAACTGGTGCACAGTCGGGCTTTGCACATGCCCACTGCTTCCCTCCTCCACCACTGAGGACACCCCAGGGAAGGCAATGCTAATGAAAGGATAGCTTTTTTTGTTAGAAAAGAGCAAAGGTGAAAACAGAAATACGGTAATAAGCCAAAAGTCAATGTTACCTATTTACTGATCAACCACCCAATGCTGTGGCTTTGTGTTACATCCCCTAATGACAATTGACTAATCTGACATAGTTAAACGATGTATATACAGCAAATCAGAAATCCAGTCCTCTGCACACCACTTGTGTGACTAGCATCACAGGACATCGGACTGATGGCGTTTTGTCTCCCATTACTGGAAGGCGATGTCCCCAGACAGAGCTCAGTGCTGGGCTGCTGACCTTAATCTCAGTCCCGAGAAGGTTTCCACAGACACTGGCTGAGTCGTTGCACTGGAGCATGTAGACATGTGAGGAGTCTTCTCTCTGGTCACCTTACTGGGTGTGTTCCCTGCAGCAGACTTGAGAGGCTGGAACGCCAGACTGAGGACTTGCCGTGGAGGAGGAATCTTGTTCTCTTTAGCAGGGAAAAAAGCAAGAAAGAAAATCTTAATAATGAAAGAAAACTTCTAAATTAAAATAACACTAACTTACACCTGACCAGAGACAGGAGTCTAATATAACACACTTAAGAAAAAGGTGTAAAACTGCCTTATTTGCACTGAACTGGTCTCCCAGTCAGCTGGGGACTAACTGACAGCTCCAGATCAGTAACTGATGAGTAAATGAGTTCTGCCTGGTGAGGAGCTTCCCAGAGCAGCTCTCATTTTCCAGGCAAGCTAAACTGTAGGATACACAGATGCAAGCTAGACTGCTGTCAGTGTCGAAGTTAACCATAGCAGTACAGAGCACAGCACCCATTGCAAAGAACACAATAATTAACTCTGTAGATCTGTTTGCACCAGACTGCTACTGGTGCACTGACTAGTATAAAACTGGATGCGTCTACCCTGCTGCTGTGAACTAGATAGGCTTTTGACAAAAGTCCAGTGTGTTTCAGTGAAAGGCAGACTGAGAATGGTACCTGCTGAGGATGCTTTTGATTTCTGGATTCCTCGCTTGGCTGGCGGTAAAGGATTGCCCAGCTGGGCTGAGAAACATGGTGACTCTTGCAGCTTCTGAACTTTCCCTTCCTTTAAGGGTCGACAGGGAGATTTACCTGGGCAAGAAAACAAAAAAATATTTATGTGATCTCAGGATCTGGACTCAAACACTAAGGACTGCTCCAAATTAAGTAATTCTTTGAATAAGAAGTCGACATAGAAGCCCTTCAGCTAAGTTGCCAGCATCTGAAATGCAACAGCTGGAAAAGCCCCAATGCCTCTTCATCATGATGACCTAAAACTCTGGATATCACTGAAACCACAAAGCTGTGGAAAGTAGGAACACCCCCTTGCTTTTCAATTTTCCCATGTAGTTTCATTACTACACCCAATGTGCTACAGCAACAAACATAGTTGTGTTTTCTGGGTGTACCAATGTCTGCCAGTAAGAAGGGACATTTCCAGCACAAGACCTGGAGCACTTCAGTCATGAAAGCTGCCCCATGCAGAATCAACCCATGATGCAGATACCGAAACTGCAGCTCATTAATTTCGTCTGCAGCTGCAGGAAACAACCTGTGTGGGAATACAGCAGACCACCATTCCTCCTTGCTACTCAGTGCCCACTTTAGGATTATCTGGAGTCTTGCCTATAAATTGTACGTTGGTAGGCCAACAAATCATAAACCCATTTAATTAGTCTCATTACCAGGGGTTTTCTTCTCAGGGCCCAAACTGGATTGCTGCCCAATAGCAGTCTTTTGCAACTGCTCCTGTAACGTCTTCATCTGTTCTTGCAATTTTCTCAGCTCAGCTAGAAAAGAGAGAAGAAAAAGGATAACAATGAAAACAGCGGGAAGCCATTGCAAACAGCGATTTATGAGATCCCTGGAAGTCTGGCAGTTTTACTACATCATAGGAACTTAGAAAACAAAGACTTGAGCCACAATGCAGATTTACTTGAGTCTACATAGCTCACAGTGAAGGGACACTTTTCCATACTGCCTGGAGCTGACTTCTCTTATATAAATATTTCACTTGACCGTGGTATGTTCCTTGCCATGTTGCACATATCTTTCCTACTGAACATAAGACAATTTAAACGGCTGACAATTGCACTCCTTACTATAAAGAAATGCTTCCAATATAATTTAAATATGTGGCCTAGACACAGGAAGGCTCAGTGGCCAGCTCTGCTTCCACACTGACTGGTATGGCAGAACCCCCTGCTGATAAGTTCTGAGGGGGAAGGGATTGCTGTGCTGGTGAAAGATGCCAGGATGACAGCCCTGAAGACAGGAAACATTGCTCTTCATCAGACAAGGCACAGGTACATAGGCAACCTTCCCTGTCCCGCTCACCAGAGCTAATTTAGTCTCCTTGGCTTACTTCAGTCCTCTGTCTTTCTTTTGGAAAAATAGGTTTGGTGAGTTTGGCCATTGAGCACTGAAAACTGGACTTAGAAACTTTCACAAGGGCTTTCTGTATTCCCCCTCTGGGCACCATCCTAAAGTGAGAAGCAGCAGGCCCTGCCTTCTGCCCATTAGCTCTCTAGAGACAAGGTGTAGATCACAAATCAGATAAAAGATGCTGTTACAGAAACCTTGCAGTTCTTGGTTGGTTTTCTCTTTTGCCTGACTAGGAGCTGAATTGGGGACAGTTTCTTCTGCCGCCTCCTCTTCCAGCAGGTCATCTACATCTCCAAACAGCGTAGCCAGGTTCTCCTTCTGCTCATCAACCATGCTGTCCTCAGCATCGACCTCCTCAGTGTAGGATGCATCATCTTCTGCATCAAAGAGTTCATCGTATTCATCTGGTTTTCCTCCCTCATCCTCTGGGGCATCTTCCTCCTCAGGAGAATTCCCCTCCTCAGTTGCCTCGCTTTCTTCCAGGAGGGAGGCCAACAGATCCAAGTCATCATCAGCTAAGGCAAAAATTAAACTCTGTGTTATTTCTGTCCAGTTAGAGGAAAGCTGCCATGGAATAAAACATCCAGGATACTCTAATCACAAGCTAATGACAACTGAAACTAAATCAGAGCAGCAAGTGGCATTCTTAAAAAACTACTTCAACTTTGGCTAAAGGAAAATAAAACAGCTCCCTGCTGTTTGGTTGGATGGAAATGTGGTTGCAGACCTCTCAGCTTGTGATGCAGGCTGGTTGGTATGCAGAAAACTTGCAGGCCACTTAGCGCTGGCTTTTCCTCTGATGCAGCTGCTTGTACAATAGCTGCTGTTACAAAGAAAAGCCTTGAGACCTGTAAAGCTGTAGCCAGGAGCTCTACAGAGACACCCACGTGGCTTTTGCCAATAGAAGCTGAAGAAGATGCAAGGCAGGCAAGAAAGCATATTCTCACATATGCTTTGCTCAAGGAAAAGAATAGAGCAAAGAAACATGGATCAAAGGTACAAATAGCGTAAAAAAGAAAATCAAGGACGGAGAGAGGAATGGGACAGACAGAGCAGAACTGAAATTCAGAACAACATAAGAAATGTATTTAGCCTTTGCTGCTGAAGAAAACACAAAACCAGGGAAGGGGCAGAGCAGCATCACAGAAAGGTGACAACAATGAAGAAGGCAAGGGGCAACCTCAAAGGCCTCCTCAAGTGAAGTCAGTGCAACATTATTTCCCTTGCTAAAAGGTTTAGCAAGCTTTCTGAACACTTGAACTTATTAACTAACATATTGGTCAGAAGACAACTTCCTACTAAAAGTAAAAGAGTACTTTCCCCTTACCATCCATGATTTCACCAGGATTTCTTCAAGAGCCCCTCAAGGAAAAATATTCTCTGTTATGGGGAGAACAACATTGACACTGTTAAAATAGATATAGCTCAGCTAGAAATACATGTTGTGTTCAGGCTCCTTATTTGATGACTTGCAAACCACCAGCTTGTTTTTGTTTACAGCTGCATATGAGGGTTCCACTAAATTTAAAATCTCCATGTACATTTTCTACATCTAAATTCTGACCTATGCTGAACTCACTCAGCGCAAGGGCATTACTTTTAGAAAAAAGCCCATAACAGACACAGATTTTAAGAAATGCTTACCATGTTCTCCTCGTAATAACCATTTCCACCTCATCAGTCCTGTGTTATAATCATAATTAGCATTTAACTAAAGCAAATTTTCCAAAATGGATTCAGTCTTCATTTGAAAATGGAAGAAGGTAGCACGGTTTCACCCTCTCCTCACAACACAGTTCTTATTCTTAAAAGCATACGTTCTACATTTCCCACAGCTCCTCCATTTCACGGACACATGGCCATGAAAAATAATCAGCATAGGCAGACATAAATGGCCAAGGGAAGACCGGATAACACAAAAGAAATCCACTGGGGATGGATTACTCACAAACCCAAACTCTGTGCTTACAGGTCTTCCTGCTGCAGAGACTTTTGTTTCGCCTATAAACTCCACTTATCATAGCCCTCTCTTTTCTCTTGCTCCGGAATATTAATTTGCAGCAAAGAACACAACAAAACTCAAGAGCATGCACGAGCAGGCGTGGCTAGTGACCACCACACAGCTCCGTGCTCCCGCTGTCCTGCTGGTGACACTGGCCCAGGGATCCACCCTGCTGCTGCCGCCGCCCCTG